ATAACTTATCTAAATAAGTTGTTGGTGATGTCCTCTTTCGTATCAGAAAGAAAAAGAAGAGGGCTTTTGGTTTTTAAGGGAAATTTATGGGTAAAACATAACTGCCCCAAAGGGAGCTGTGAATGTCACATATGCAGCAAGGTATGAGACAGAGAGAACCCCCCTGCTTTGTGTTGGTCATTGTCTCGCAGGAATCTGGGGAATTCCTTTCAGACATCTTGGGGGGATGTGTTAAGTAACAATAGTCTGGAATGTGTATAGGGATTGGACATATTGGGGGGTACCCCTCGGTCTCATTTCTTGCTGGGTATAGAATGTCAAATATACGAATATAGTCTGGTTCCTTGACCTGGATGTAGATTTGTTTTAATGAAACCAAGAAGCCTGAGTCGAGTAACCCGACGAAAAACAAAATGGCGTCATTCGACTGAGTGGTTGTCTTTGCCAAACTCGGGTTAGAAATTTGAAGTTTTCTTGATTAAATATTGTCAAAATTTACCTAAACTAGGCCAATCAGGATTTACTAATGGTTCCTTAAGGTAAAAATGTTAGTTAGTTTGAGAAAGTGGACTTAGTTTCCTTATTATAGGAACTGGGTTCTAATGGTAATGAACCCCGCACAAATGTACAACGAAAGGCTTCAACAACTGTGCCAGCATTAAATACCTGTCCTGTGCATGAACACCATTTCAACAGTGTCCGAAGTCCAAATGTTAGACAATAATTTAATACCAGCATAGTTTGTTTTTGGAAGCACTAAAATGTGCTATGGATATCCACTGTGCTAGTATGGCACTGGTACATGTATAAATTGCAAACAAGAGCTGGCAATCAATACATATTCCCTATTTGCCACAAGAGGGCGCTGTTGACAAATGCCAGCCTTGCAGTGAAAAACCCATAGGAAGTGGAATAAACTTCTTATCAAAAACATGATCGACAGGAACAATTGTTTGGTCATGAATTTAAATGCTTACCATAAGAAATCTAGTAAAAATCAAGCAATTTTGGGTAAAAAGTACTGTCAATCAGGATATTCGTCTGAAGTAAGGTATACGGTACATGCACTACATGTACATGTCCATTGTATGTACGTACTATAATGTCCACATTACATAAGCCACATGAAATTTTGAAATGTCAACTATAACAGTCAGGTTCCGGATTCCTGGGAATTAGACATTCTTGCCCTGTCCAAAACGGGCTTCTAAACCTACCCCTATGTCTACAGTCAGTGTCTGTATAATGGGTAATTCCAGAAATAAGGGGTCCAAAAATGTGACATTTTGTGTCCCTGTTACATCTGACCTTTATTACTTGACACGGAAATATCATCGGAATAGATTTCAAACTAATACTTTTTATTTGGCAGGTTAGTTGCATTAAGTCATCACTCATGGAAATTAGAAAATGTGTTATGAACTTACTAAATCATACGTCCGATGCGACAGGGACACGACAAAAAATGGATCCCTAATTTCTGGAATTACCCACACACATACATGTACATATAGACCTATAGTACAGCAGCTTTGGATGAAGCCTACAGTGAGCCTTGTTGCACGTATGCATACAGATCTTTCAACTTCCATAACCCTTACCGCCAAGCATATTGTTTGACTTACACTACACCTGTACACAGTACTACAAAATACTAAGTAATAGTCTAAGCCTGAAGGACCTAGCGCTACAAATTACAACTTCTGGCTAGGTTACTTCCATTGTTACTTGTACAGAGAACAATAAAGCCATGCATTCATAGTGCCACAGCACTGTATGGTACATTGTCTTATCTATTGTATCTTATGGCTTCAGAGAACAATGCGGTCATGTCCTCTTACAAGCGACAGCACTCACTACTACATTTTACTACAAGTAGTAATTTGTAGTATTATGTAGGGTTAGGGATAATAAAATAAGGACAATCTCAACTTCAACTGGATGAATGCTAGAGTTGTAACTATATCACACAATACTTAATAAGTACATGTACTATAATTAGGAAATCAGACTACAGCAGGTAAGATTCCAGACTTCAAATTCATATGATATTGGCACAAGGTCACCAGTTCAGCACATTAACTTTTGTTGAGACAGTAAAGGTTAATGGGTGGAGGATGTGCTTTTGTTGTTTCACTATCTGTGATTATGTTTCATAAGCTCCTAAGTTCCATGGATTTTTAGTTGCAAGTAGAATTTTAGCTTTTGCGAATTCACAAACCACATTACATTGAAGCAGAATCTTACAACGTTCCCCTTGTCCATAATGAAAAACCGAATGTCCCCCTTCCCCCAGAGCCCCTCTTGTTTGCATTTATTTCGTTATTTATTTCGGTTTAAAAATCTCCAATACAAAATTTTTTGAAAATTTAGAGTGACTGGATTACACATGTATTTATTTAAAATAGGGCTGTGCCAAATATCCGATTGATTTTTGAATATTCAAATAACATTTTTCAAATTTGAATATTCGAATGCAAATTCATGAAAAAGAAGGGAAAAAAACTTCTTTTGTTTCAAATGAGAAAATTGCACTATGGAAGCTTGTTTCGAGCCGATTAAAAAAAAATTTAAAGAATAAATTATTCATTAAACAATTTAAAAGGAATAAAATTTTTCAACAGGGCAAGAAGTCTTGATCATCTCTGTAATCTTGCTAAATCGTGGCTGGAAATACTCCTAGATGTGAGAAGCTTTTATGCTATTGTATTGATTATAATGTACAATTGTGTGTGTTATTGCAACTGATTTTGTGTATTGTTTGTTCATCAACAAACTGCCAGTTGGTACGATCAATTATTCGGATATTCAAACAAATTGAAAGTCGAATATTAGAATAGTGAATTATTTGAATTGACTCAGCCCTAATTTAAAAGTACCATATACATGTAAAACATTAAAAAGCACTAGTTACTAGAAAAAATTACAACAATCAAAGGATATATTACAAAGCTATATGTTGGCTGCAACTGGACACAGTACACTATTGGCTAATCATGATGGGATCTGATGATCATTGATCCATCAGCATGGTCAGCCAATTATGTTTTCTATTTGATGTGTCTGGAAGACAGTTTTGAAAAGGGACAGTACAGTCAGAGATTTCTTACACTAGCTGAGCAATCATGTAGACTTGTATCTGCAACATGGGTGGTATCAATTAATCCGCCCAGACAATCTTAAGGCCATGAGAATGAACATCCAGGAATTCCGTCCGGAAAATTTTGAAAACCTATGAGACCGTTTCAATATTCATTATAATAATATGGACAAGAAAGCAATATATACCAATTTTTCCATAATATGACACTTGTTATGCTATTCTATTAGTTATCTTCTCACACACGACTGCAATGAAGATAGGCACACTAGTTTAAATGATTGATTGCATTTAAACCATTCGTACCCTCAGAGCAGCACACCCATGGCCTGATCATACATGTAGTCAGTGTACCGTACACTGATCAAGCAAAGGGAACCAACCTTGAGATGCATGGTAGACTAGCTCTAAGTTTGTCTTGCATCATGCTGTGATTAAGTTTTACGCATGCAATGTTTTTTGTCCGCTTTATGAACTCCTGATTGCTTTGTGGTCATTTGTTTTGCCAATTCTGACAGGAAAAATAATGAGTTTTCTTTTTTTTTTAGTTAAATGAAATTTTTCAAATAATGAAAATTTTTGATGGCTGTTTCAGTGGTATGCAGGATTGCGGGTGGTAGACGGAAATCCGGGATGGTGTTCATTCTCATGGCCTAAGCATGACATGTTTGTCCTTCTCAGTGCAAAACTATCACAAATCACTGACCATGACATGTCCCAGATATTCTGCATCACGTCAATGTTGCACTGGGTGAATCTGTGTCGTGTGATTTATCAACGACATCACCTTTAGACTTGTCAGATGATTGCAATTTCTTTCTAATTCACCAATGAGGACGATTGCTTAAAAAGAGGTAGTAGTCAGAGATTTCATAGTAGATTAATTGGTAGCTTAACAATCATGACAATGCAATCAGGCAACTGTGCTAATCAATTCCAACAATTCAGCACAATTTTGAATGTATTTTCCCACAAAAGTATCCCATGCCCTTGCATTATGAGGTTTAAAAGAAATAGAGTGTACTGCATTGTCCAACAGCACCCTGTCCAGACAAGCCAGAGCTGTAGCTGTTTGGAAAACGGACAACTAATTCATGGAGGAAGGACACAAACCATGTATACACGATATACACAATGGCATCAAGAGGCCTTACCTGTCAGGCATGTCATGCATTTCAGGATGCAGAATGCGCTATCACTATTTGGATTTAATATGATGCCAGCCTTGCTTATATGCAGTAGCACAGGATCAGGACCTCTCGATTCTCAACATTAAATCTACTCACCTTTAATAAACGCCCAGCAGAATTTTACGGGCAAAATGTAGCCCCTACCGAGATGCCCTCCCCAACCGTAGCTTTGAGACACCCCACGCTAGATATCACTGCAGCCCATGTACTCCAAATCGGTTCCGCCTTTTTCACATACCACACAGTACGGTTCACCAGCGAGCTGCCATCTTTGATCGAAGATCCACCTGTTATTGTTCAATGTGACTCTACCATCATGGCCATTATAGTATAGGGGTGTTTGGGTTGCAACTTAAAATTTTGGTAATACAAGCGTTCTAAGGAGAAATTATAAAGTGTAAAATTTGGATAACACATCTAAGCAACAATTGTTTAGATCAAGAAAAGTGATATTTTGGTGTCAGATTTCAAAATGGGTGGAAAAACACTTGACAGTAGTGTTCGCAACTTGATTCAGAGTACCTTTCGATAATGGTTTATTCTTTTATGCCTGGAATGTATCAGCACCGCACACACGACGCACGGGTGTCAGGTGGGTAGAGGGTTCCTCCAATAATAGAGTTTAGGATACGTAAAAATTTACACAATTAGCATGTCTGAAATTTGCATAATGTGTCTGTTTTAATTGCAGACTCTCATGTTCTTGCGGACTTAACGGTTACAGGTTGGGCTGGGCATGCTGGGGTTGTTGGGTGATTTCATGGCTGGGATTTTGGCATGTTTGGGAAGTGTACCGTTATAAATACATGTACAAATCAAATATAAAAATAACTTGTTCAACTTCAAGAATTTTGAGTCAAAGCTTTTTGGGCTCGAGCTAAACTTATTGACACTTCTTGTAACACCTCATGTTGATTAAAAATTGTAATGCAGCAAAGTATTGGTGGGACCTTGCCCAATGGTTAGAGGTACTTGATGGAACTTAATTAATTTCCATCATGGTTTAAACTCTTTTGCCCATTCAACTAGTGTACAATCCCAGAGGTTGGATCACAGTGAGTATCATCATCTCCAACATTCGTATTGCAGGTTCCTTCTTAGTTTGCCTCTTAGAGTGAAAAACCAATCAGACTTGACAATAGGTGGTGTATAGGGACCTGGCTACTATATGGTCATGGACGTTACGCTTGAGCAACTTCATTTTTCACTGGAAGTAATGCACCTATTTGTGCACATTCAGGTGGAAACTGATGAAGGTGCTGTGTAAAGGGTCACAGTTGTTTGAACCTTGGAGGGTAAATATGGCATATTACCTGAACCATTCACTTGTATTATATTGGATTGATGGCATTTGAATCTCTTGAAAGTAGTTGCTGAGTTTTGGATGGAATCTGGGCCATGATTGTTTACGTACTCTAATGTAGTACAGCTAATGTGTTGTAGTCTTTCATATAGCCACTTTGATATTTCACTTCTAGTGTGATACTAGAGCAATAGATTTACATGTACCTCAAATTTCTCAGTAAGTGAAATTTTATCAAAGCTCTCTTAACGTTACTATTCTTAAATTTTGAGTTGTTTCAATGTTTCTGTGAACTTGAAATTCTATTTTGGCCTGCTTTTCCGATTTTTTCGAAGTGTACAATGAAGTTCCTTTGAAATGTGCACCAAAAAGAAAATTATTTTCTTACAAACTTGTAGTTGGGTATGTGAGTGGATGTAATAATTTGTCAGAACTTCTCTGCTTTAAAGGAATTCTTAAATGTTAATGTTGGATTTTCGGAGAATTAGTCAAGTGTGCCACGTCAGGAAATACTCAACAAAATTTCTGCCTGATTTCCACATACCACCGATTTTGAACTTCAGAGTAAATTTCATGACACTAAAATTGCCCACAAATGTCCAACAGCACGTATTATGAAGGTACTACTACCAAGGACTAAATGAATTCCAAGTTTTTCAACATAGAGGTTTGCCAGCACTGCATGAGAAAAGTTGAGAGAAAGGTCAAAAGTGGACTCAACTATTAAAAGAGATCATTTGAATATGCATAGATCTAGATACCACCATTTGTTTATTCACATTGAAGCAATGTCCTCTCAATTTCTCTACATATGCAGACGTAATAATGGAGTCCAGTATAGCAAGTCCCTCCAAAAGCTTTTCCATAACCCACCAATGGGATGGCTCGGCCATTGACCATGCACCAATCACAGTGACAATAGCACAAGATCCCAGTGACACATCCTGTTTCATACTGGAGACCGATGGGCCATTCTTCAATGACCCAGGCAGGCCAAAGGGGGAGGCTGGCCAGCCCTATGATGGCCTCTGGGACTATGAAGGTACAATGTACATCCAATGTGAGACTCTTTAATGCCACATCCAGATGTTATGACTTCGGCAGGGAAAAAAAGTTGGAAAAACCCTGAATATTCTATTTTGAAAGATCCGAGGGTTTTATTAGTCACCACAGACGTGACCAAAACAGGAGGTTCAGAAAATGTCTGAAGCTTACAAAAAGTTTCTGAACACATTTTGTTGATTTTTGGGTACAGCCGTCAATGTCTGCAAATAGTAAATGCATATAAGTTGATTCTCGTTGCAGGAAAACTCCAACTTTTCTTGAATGATTTTTCAAAAATACTTGTATGAAATTGGTCTCCACTTGTGCACAACCTTAACCCCTTCGCACCGGGAGGCGGCTATAGCAGCCGCAAAAATTGAGATCCTTAGCCCACTTGTCAGCTATAATTCTTGACCCACACTCGAGCGAACACGGTGAAAGAAGGCAGACCCTGGCTCTTGTATATATGGTAATTGGTCTTTTTGCTTAGCCCAGAAATGAAAAGAGCGAATTTGCATCATAATCACCAGCTTCACAATAGTCCCCGCTTTGAAAAGA